GATTAGTTAGGAGAAAATTGGGAAAAATTAAAACTCTAATTGCTGTTCCATTCTTAATTTTCAAACCAATTTTTAATTATTTGAATTCTTTTTTCTGCACGTAATTGTTGTTTGGAAATTGGTCCTTTATAACTATTATTCAAATCAATATCATAAAACTCTTGCCAATTAATCCAACATTAATAAATTGATAAACATAGTGCTGGGTTGAATTCTCGTGAAAATGATACTTTTTTGTCATCACTTGACTTTATTACTTGTGCCATTAATACACTTGCCGTGATAAGCAACAAATTGCTGCATGAAGCACGAACGGCAAAGCATTCAAGCTGCTTGCCTTCTTCAGCCATTCGCTCGCTTCGATCATAATGACTAATATTGAAGCATGCACGGGTAACAACAACCAGTAGAATTTAAATTAAACATATTTTTGAATCTACAACTTTTGCTACACACGTATACAACCTTATCGTCGTGCAGAATGACGTGTTCACTTTAGAATAAAATTAACGTCACTACCACAACTCTTGGAAAAGAGGATCTCCGGAAACCTAGCTTATGAGAACATCATCCCCAAATATTTCAGCCATTATCTTTGCAGTTAACGTGTTGCAGTCGTTTTCGCCGTGGAATATTCTGCCTCCGTATTGATTGAAACATGCCAATCTATTTCAACGGTCAGAACATGCCAATCATTTTTGTATTATGCATTTTTTTATTTATTTAAAAAATTGAAATAATTAGACAAATTTAGTATATATCGTTCTCCAAGAGAAAGTGCTTACACTATTGGAGTTGGTTTTAGGAGGGAAGAATTTAGGAATTTTCACAAAACTCTTCAAAACCCTTTTTGTTCTTAAAATTAAAGTTCTCTTAATTTGAGATTCTTTTCATTCCTTCCTTTTCCTTTCTCTTGAATCATTTTCCCTCCAAACTCTTAAACAAAGCCTACAATTTGGGTGTTTGTGGAGTGGAGGGGAACGAAGGAAAGAAATCCAAGAAAAAAGGGAGGGGAAGAGAAAACAAAGCTTATTCTCTTCTGTTTGTTTGGGAGTTAAAAAAATAGTAAGGAACCTACAAAAAAAAATAGTAAGAAAGAAAAAACGGAGAGTTAATAAAACATTTTTATTCTTTCTTTAAATTTTTTATAATTATTATACTTTACAAATAAAATTAAATTTAAAATTTCTTTTTATTTTTTATTTTATTTTTAAAAAAAATAACAATAACAATAATGAAATCCTGCTAGAGGTGTTAACTAATCAATCAATGTAAGGAAGTTTTATCGTAACCAAATACACCAAATTGAAAACAAAAATAGTTTCCATAAAAACAAAAGCAATTAGAAAATAAACTAATTTTTTTTTAAAAAAACACAGATATTAAGAAGGAAAAAGTGAAACGCACCAAACGGGAGGGGGATATTGACTGGCCCTTTTTCAGAATAATATATCTGAATGCTATGGAGTGTAAATTTTTTCTAAACTGCTGGCACGACACCATAGTCAGTGAGGTTCTTAGCTACTATGGATGGGACACTTGTCACGCCCGTTACACCAAAACTACACACGCGTCACTCATTTGCCCAAAGTAGCCGTGTTGTGCAGCGACTATGGGCTACTTTTTCTGAATTGGCAGGCCTATGATCAAAATCGGTGGGAAAGCCAACAAATTTGGCCTAGTGTGGCATGGTTGCAGGTGTTGCATAAATTTTGCAGGACCAGAGTAGCTAACATAGGTAGCGACTTTAGCCCACTGATGATATTATAAAGCGACTTACGAACATACCAAAATTGATCAGTGCTATCTGTGTTATTTTCGTACATAAAAAGCCTATCCATTTCCGGTAGTGTCATAGGTAGCTATAGTTTACCTAAACTAATTCATTTATGAAAAATAATTCATATCAATCAACATATTGTTTAATCCTATACTAAGAGAAAAAATAAAAAATTTAAATATCATTTATCTTAATATTTCAAGTACCCAAAAACAATAATAATTAAATTAAATATATACAACATAAATTTTTAAATGCAATATAAAATTCATTTATATGTATAATTTGAAATTAAAAATATAATATTAAGTATCCTATAGTTTACCTAAACTAATTCATTTATGAAAAATAATTCATATCAATTAACCTATTGTTTAATCCTATACTAAGAGAAAAAATAAAAAAAATAAAAAAATTAAATATCATTTATCCTAATATTTCAAGTCCCCTAAAATAATTATAATTACATTAAATATATAAAACCAAATGGTGGTAGCTCAGTTGGCGCATGGGAGCTAAGCAGGTGGGGGAGAGAGCATGTGTTTGAATCTCCACAATACCACCTTTGGGAGGGGTTTAAAGCCTTAATTCTGGACTCGTCCCGAATCGGATTAGTTGCAAAGCAATGAACCGATTGGAAAATTTCCTAAATTAAATATATACAACACAAATTTTTAAATGCAATATAAAGTTCATTTATATGTATAATTTGAAATAAAAAAATTAAATATCATGTATCCTAATATTTCAAGTCTCCAAAAATAATTATAATTAAATTAAATATATGCAACACAAATTTTTTATTTTTTTTTGGTAAGCTGCAACACAAATTTTTAAATGCAATATGAAATTAATTTATATGTAATTTGAAATTTAAAATATATGCAACACAAATTTTTAAATGCAATATGAAATTCATTTATATGTATAATTTGAAATTAAAAATATAATATTAAGTATCCTATAGTTTACCTAAACTAATTCATTTATGAAAAATAATTCATATCAATTAACCTCTTGTTTAATCCTATACTAAGAGAAAAAATAAAAATTTAAATATCATTTATCCTAATATTTCATGTCCCAAAAATAATTATAATTAAATTAAATATATAAAACACAAATTTTTAAATGCAATATAAAATTCATTTACTTTTATAATTAAAAATTAAAAATATAATATTAAGTATCATATAGTTTACGTAAACTAATTCATTTGTGAAAAATTTAAATATCATTTTATTCTAATATTTCAAGTCCCCAAATAAATTAGAATTAAATTAAATATATACAACATTAATATTTTCTATTGTATATTTTCTCAAGCATAACACATGTCTAACTTTATCAATAAACCCAAACAGCATGAAGCGTGTACACAACAACAACAATTCACTTTGAAGAAAATATACAATTGAAATAGGAAAATCATTTTCTCATGTTGGAGATTGATTTCTCATGTTGTGAGATATCGAAATTCGTGCTATCTTTTTTTTAACAAATGGTGGGACCAACCACTTATTGGATCTATAGAATGAGAGATGTTCTCTTATGTGACATGAGAAAAGAGAAACCCATTGAAATATTAGTGTTTTAACGCATATAGCACTGAACAATTTTTGTATATTTGTAAGCCACTTTATAATATCATTAGTGGGCCAAAGTCGCTAACTATGTTAGCTACTTTGGTCCTGCAAAATTTCTGCAACACTTGCAACTAGGATTGGCACAGTAGGCCAAATTCGTTGGCTTCCCCATCGACTTTAATCTTATAGGCCTGCGAATTCAGAGAAAGTACGCCATAGTCGCTATACAACACGGCTACTTTGGGCAAATGAGTGATGCGTGACTACTTCAACCCAAAGTAGTTACTTTGGTGCATTTCCAGCCACAAAGGGAGTGACATGTGTCCCATAGTAGCTAAGAACCTCAGCGACTATGGTACCGTGGCAGTTTGGAAAAAATTTGTACTCTGTGGCATTTAGGTATGTTATTCTGAAAAAAAGGGCAGTACAATCAATGTCCCACAAGAGGGACCCCGTTCATGTTGAGGGACGTAGCAATGTGGCAAATGAAAATGAAAGAGAGAGAAAAGAAAGAGAGAGAAAAGAAAGAGCAGTGTTACGTTACGCGTGTTGCAGGTCGAGAAAGGAAACAATGCGGAAAGAGATAAGAGAGAGAGAATCGTACATGAATTCAAAAGAAGAGAAAAATAGAGAGAAAACTAGGTTTAAGGAGAAAGAGAAAGAGTTTTTTAATTTTAACGAGGGTAAATAAGTAATTAAAATATTTTATCTCTTAAAACTTTGAAAATTGGGGAATTTTATTTTTAAGAATAAGGAGACTTTTAGAGGATTTTGTGAAAATCCCTCATTTTCATCCGTCCACTTTTTTAAATTCACAAATAAAAAAATGTACAATTAAAACATTCTTTTCTCTTTCCTTCCCTCCGAACAACAACTCCTAAACAAAGTGTAAGACATTCAATCACTTTGAAAATTTTTACTCTAATTCAAAACATAAAATTGTATGTTAGCAAAATTTGAAAAATCATAATGAGTCTTGTTCATATTTAAGCTTTAAACAAAGGCTTTAATGTTTCTAGAGTGAATGTAGATAAGTTATCTACATTCGCTCCCAAATGACGTCATTTTGGGTTGAAAAATTAAAAAATTATAATGAAAAAGTCTATTATAACTCTGAAATAAATTATAATTACAAAATACTCTGATTTTCATCCTAAAATGATGTCATTTTGAACTCAATGTAGATAAATTATCTACATTGACAGTAGAAAAAGCAAACCCTTAAACAAAACTCAATTGAGAATTATTTTAATCTCAGAATCTTTCAGAATATTCAGCTTTAGAGAAGAACTTTGAAAGAAAGTAGTTGAATAATTTTAAATTATATTTTTGGGGATATATCTCCCCGCACGCCCGGAACAGGGATATTAACTTCCAAATTTAAATATTTAATTAATACTAATTTATTCAATAGAAATTTGCTACCACACAAGAGCAAGCAACTCCATCATAAACCCTAAACCTACCTAACTGATCTATTATTGAATATTATTGTTATCTAATCATATTCAGTCACTATCGATCCCTTCTCTTGATTTTTCACACAACTCACTATCTCTAACATGTTACATTAATTTGATCAAACGTATATAAATATGGGGGCAACAAAGATTGGTTTCCTCACAGCAAAGGATATGGAGAGCAAAAGTCAACTACAAGTTTCAAATTCAGGTCAACAGAGTGGAGGATCCACCTTTTTAGAAACTTGTTTCAATGGACTCAACTCCTTATTAGGTCCCCCCCTCTCTCTCTCTCTCAAAATGTATCTGACCAGTTATTAGTCATATATACAAAAAGCAAATATCACACATGTCACCCACTTTACCAGGCTTAGCAAGATGGATAAAAGGAAATATATTTGCATGACTTGTTAGCTGTACATGCTAATTAGTAAATATTCTTTGCATAATTATATTGTTAGGTAAAAATTGTGCATGCTTTTTGACAGTTCTGATAAAAATTCAAACACTTTTTGGCATCACGTGCCAAAAACCTTGATTTTTTTTTTTATTTTAAGGGTGTTCACCAACTGATCCAAACCGATTCAAACTGCGGTGATCGAACCGAAAAATCGATAATCGAATAAACCGAAAACCGAAAACCGAAAAAAAACTGAAAATTTTAATTGGATTGGATCGGTTTTCGAATTGATTGATGAAAACTGATCCAATATATTAATTTCTGTCTATCTACTTGGGTCTTTCCCTAATCATAGTCCAAAAATTTCTAAACCCAAGACCCATTAACCCATCAATTAAATCCAAGAAAAAATCTAGTCACATCTCATCAATTAAATTTCATTGTATAGCTTCATATCTCATTGTCCAAAAAAAAACTATATTATTGTTTAATGATGTTTTTGTATTTCACAATTTTTTTTTTTACAAAACCAATATATACAAAAGATGTTATTTGTACAATAATCATGAAACAAATTTTAGGATTTTCGAAAAACAAGAAATTGATCCAATCAAAACCGAAAAAGATTGGATCGGATTTAAAAAAAAAATCCAAACCAAACAGATGATTATATGATCAAACCGAAGGGATTGGATTGGATGAATTTTGCTTCCAAAATAGATTTAATTCAGACTGGGAACACCCTAGTTCATTTAGCTATAACATAACTGATAGAGAATGCTTAATTAAACTGTGCGCTTATAATGTTCTAATTAACTTGGATAATATGGTTTTTCAGGTGTTGGGATACTCTCAATTTCGTATGCAGTTTCTCAAGGAGGGTGGTTGAGTTTTATACTGCTATTTATTTTTGCTATGATGTGCTGGTACACAGCGTTACTTCTGCAAAGGTGTATGGATGGAAATCCACAAATAAAATCCTACCCTGATATAGGTCAGGTAGCATTTGGGTACAAAGGAAGAGCTGTGGTAGCCAGTATAATATATATGGAGCTGTTTTTAATTGCCGTGGAGCTTCTGATATTAGAAGGTGACAATTTGGAGAAGTTGTTTCCAAGCGTGAACTTCACAATTGCAGGCCTTAGAATTGGAGGTAAAAGAGGTTTTATCATGCTTTCTGCTTTGGTAATATTACCAACAACTTGGTTGAGAAGCTTGGGAGTTTTGGCCTACATTTCTGTTGGTGGGGTACTGGCTTCTATTATTTTACTTGGTTGTGTTGTGTGGGTGGGTGAAGTTGATAGTGTGGGGTTTCATGAAAGAGGACACTTTGTAAATTGGGGTGGAATGCCTACTGCTTTGAGCATTTTTTCGTTCTGCTTTTGTGTGCATGCAGTACTTCCCACACTAATCAATTCTATGAAAGATAGAAGTCAGTCTTTCAAGGTAAGTTGTTGTTATAATTGCAATCTAATTCAGGAAAATATTTCTTATATTTTACTGTTCAATTCATGTATAGGAATATTGGCTTGGAAAATGACTAATACTCTTCAAATCCAAGCAGTAATTAATAGAATTGGCACTCATATTGTTTCCCAAATGCAGGTTATGCTGGTTTGCTTTGTGGCAGGCACCATAGTCTATGGATCCATCGCTATTGTAGGCTACATGATGTTCGGAGAATGTTTGATGTCTCAAATAACGTTAAATCTACCGACAGGAAAAAAAAGTACAAAAATAGCAATTTATACTGCAATAATCTATCCTTTGACTAGGTATGCTGTTATAATCACCCCAATAGCCAATGCTATTGAGGGCAAATCGCTTCTCTGCAAGAGCAGGCCTATTGCCATCCTCATTAGAACCATCATCGTGGTCAGCACTGTGCTTATGGCGTTATTCATTCCCTTTTTTGGTTACATTATGGCGCTTATTGGTGCATTCTTGGATGTGGCAATCTCATTGTTGTTCCCATGCCTCTGCTACCTAAAGATAAACAAAGATGCTCGGCGATTTGGGTTTGAGCTGATCGTTATCGTAGGAATTCTGCTAATAGGATCATTCATTGGGATACTGGGTACCTACATCTCTCTGAGGCAGATAGTAAATCAGTTCAAGCTTTAATGAAGTTGTGTGCTTAAGGCTTCTAAAAACCTATTTCAGCAATTCTACTAATAATGTAATGTACCAAATAATTAATGATATATATCTTGTTTTCCATGGTCGAATTTGTTAGGGGTGTGCATGATAAGTGTCAAAGAAACTATGCATTTAATATCAAATATAGAGCAAATAATAATTAATATAATTAAAAATATAGTGTTAATTAATAAAATCTTAAAATTTAGTAAAATGCCAACAACTAGATAAGATCCTAATCCTTTTTATTGTTTCAGGTTGTTTCATACTAAGAATAACAAATTACAAACCTGATGAGGATGAGAAAGCAGTTCGCACGGCGAAAAGATAAAAGAAAAATAAGAAATTAAAGATTTGGTCACGCTCGCTCTATTGCTCGCTTTAGCGAGCAAGAAGCATAATCAAGCTCGCTCTGATGCTCGCTTCAACGAGCAAGTGAGCGAGGAGAAGAAAAATTCTCGCTGAGCGGCTGAAGCCTCAACAAGTTGGCCCAGAAATAAAGGCCCAATTTTAAGCCTTTAAATAGAACGCGAAGAAGGCCGTGAAGGGGATTATTCGGAAGAGGAGGCAGGAGCGCATTCAGAAGGCAGAGGAACGCAGGAACGGTCAAAGCTTCACTGTGTAGACCGGATTTTATTTTCATTTATGAATTTTAGTTTCTTTTCATCTATTGTTCTCGTTTTTCTAACTATGTCAGGCTAATTTTCTTTAAGTAGTTAGGGTGAGACGGAACCAATGGGTTCTTGAACGCTGTTTTCCTCTCTTATAATTTATACTCATGATTTAAAGTTATGCAATCAATCTATTTCTTATTGATTAGCTTTATTTATGAACTGTTCACTCATAGATAAACATATGAGTCGTGCATGACAATACGGATGTTGGTGTATTGATTCCGATTGGTTGATCTAGGGATATATTTAGGAATTCTATAACTGTAAGTTCTTGCGTTAATGCTTGCTTTATGAAAAAGTACTAAGGGATTAGGCTTTTGAGTGAAGTAAAGGATCAGATTACCAAGGGATTGAGATCCAATCAAACATAGAAAGAATTGTTAATAACTGGATCTTGAATGTAATTATAAGAATAGGTAAACTAGTTTGGAAACCATTGGGGAAGTTAAGTCCTAACTACATATTTTATAAAACTTAAATCCAATTTCCTAGCATTTATTAATTCTGAATTTAATTTCTTGAATATTGAAAACTAAAAATAAGTAGTAAAAATTCTGCTTTAATTAAATTAAAATATTCTCAAACCAACATTTCACGATCGATCCAACTTTAGTTAAATAGATAAATTAGTGCTTGGTCATCAGTCCTCGTAGGATTGACAACTTATTCTTATCACTTTACTACTTGTATGACCGGTGCACATGTCGAAGTCGCAACAAGTTTTTGGCGCCGTTGCCGGGAACTGATTTAATCAACATTAATTTTATTTATAAAATTATAGATTGGATCATTTTATTTTATTTTATTTTATTGTCATTTATTTTTGCTTTGTTAGTTTAATATTTTTATCGTTATTTATTTTATCTAGTTTTGTTATTTTTATTTTGTTTACTTTAAATTTTAATTTTTAATTTTTTTGTTAGTTAGTGATTTCCATTAGTTGGGTCCATTGAGTCTTAGTTTTCTGGTTTATGCATCTGCGAGGCACTGTTAACCCCAGTGACCTACAGTACAAACTAGAGTTAGGACAATTAGAAAGAACCAAAAGGAAGCGTTTGACCGTGAAGAAGATACAAGACGCATCGAGCTTCAATTCTACTGAAGAATCAGTCATGGCCGAGGATAACCAAAATCCACCAGAAGAACTGATGAACCATTTCCCAAATCCGAATTTCTCGCATCCGACTGCGAGTATTAGAAGGCCTCAAATTCCAGCCTATAATTTCGAAATCAAAGCCTCCTTCCTAAATTTAATCCAAAGTAATCTATTTGAAGGAGACCCGATTGAAGACCCAAACTGCCATATCACTAAATTCTTACAGTTGTGTAATCTCATTAAAGCTAATGGGGTACCGGCTGAAGCAATCTGACTGATGCTTTTTACCTTTTCTTTAAAGGGGAGAGCACTTAATTGGCTGGAATTGCAACATGCTGATAGCATCTCTACGTGGGAAGAATTAGTTGAGAAATTCCAAAAGAAGTTTTTCCCACTCTCTCAATTCTCAGAGTTGAAGGAACAGATTGGCAACTTGAAGCAGCTCGAGGGAGAATCCCTATGTGTGGGATGAGGGAAATTTAAAGAATTAATCAGGAGATGTCCATAGTATATTTTATCGAATGGCGAGAAGGTCTGAATATTTTACAAAGGAGTTACATCAACATATAGAGTACTTCTTCATACTGCAGCTAGAGGTAGTATCGGAGAAATTACTCCACCTAGAGCTGTTGAGTTAATTGAAAAGATGACATCTGAAGATAACGAGGTCACACCAGTTCAACCTAAGCGAGGAATTATGCAGCTAGAAGGATAGGATGCTATGTTGGCCAAGCAGGACAAGATGGATCAAAGGCTAGATTCACTTGTTAAGCTCGTTACACATAATCAAATTTATGCAATTAATGCCTGGTTCCCATGGTATGTGACACTTGTGGCAGACCTTATAGTGCCGATAGTTGTGAGGCTATGGTTACCATAAACCCAGCTCAGGTGAATTCCCTTTGGTACGACCAACGTAGGGAGAACATTTCTTACAACAACACTTATAATCCTGGCTGGAGGAACCATCCTGCACTTTCATATAATCAAGGAGCACTACAGCAAGCTAATCTGGGAATTCAGCCAGTACAACTTACTTCTCAACCTGCCGCGTGGGAACTAACTATAGAGAAATTGGCTCAGACAACAACAACATCTCTCAAAAATCAAGAAGCATCTATTAAGAATCTGGAAATTCACATTGGTCAGCTTGCCAAGCAGATGGCTGAGAGGCCTCAAGGTACCTTTCCCAGTGATACTATCATTAATCCCAAAGAACAATGTAATGCCATCACTACAAGGAGTGGGATAGTAATTCAACCTGTGGAAAAGCCTATAGCTGAACCAAGTAGTGAAAAAGATGCGGATAAGGAAAAGCCTGCTGAATAGAAAATAGATAAACCCATAGAAGAGAATGTAATCATTATTGGTGGATCGTTAAATGATACCCCACGTAAGAAAGTAATAAAGAAACCTTCTTTAGAAGAAAAAATGAAACCGTTGGGGGATAACCCGTACATTAAAGCCCCATATCCTCAAAGACTGACACAATCAGCACAAAAGTAGCAATACTCTGAATTTTTAGAAATGTTTAAAAAGTTGCAAATAAATATTTTGTTCGTTGAAGCCTTAGAAAATATGCCTATTTATGCAAATTTTATGAAAAGCTTGCTTTCAAGGAAACACAAACTCAAAGAAAAAATGGAGACAGTAACTTTGACGGCAGAATGTAGTGCAATTATCTAGATAATTCCTACACCCGAAGCTCAAGGATCCTGGTTGTTTCAGCATAGCTTGCATTATTGGGAATGTTCATATGGGTAGAGCACTTTGTGACCTTGGGGCTAGCATCAATTTGATGCCACTTTCCTTCGCCAAGTCCATAGGAATTACTGAATTAAAGCCTACTGACACGAGCTGTCGAACTCGCACAAATTAAAAATTAATTTTTATTAGGGTTCAGAAAATTTGTAGTAAAGTGGAAACCCTAAGTCGTTTCTCAAGGAAATTGTTTTGGTAAAAATCGCTTATGATGACAGAAAATTAAAAGGGGATTTTGGATTTTGATTGAATAATTAAAAAGGCAGAATATAAATTTGGAATAAAAATTCGTAATTAAAAATTAACCAACCTAAGGTTAGGGTTCCATGGATGTCTTTCCTCGGATAAAAAGATATTAGAATCGTGATTGATCGTCAATCGAATCAGAATCCTTATTTCCAATTGACAACCTTCTCTAAGCGATCGCTTAGCATTTGATCAAATATGGTACTTCTACTCATACAATCGCAGAGTATCAGCTCGTTTGATTTAAGGTCATAGGGTCAATCAATCTAACCATCAAATCTGATGATTAATCCCTTTCCATAATCGCAATCGCGAACCTCAGATTGAATATCCACGATCGCACGATATCAATCTGAGTTGGGAAGGGAAACAAACTGATTTAAAATAAAGCGCAGACCCTCAAGACTAATCCATGGAATCTGTTACCCTTAGGTTGATTAAAAGGTTCTTAGCCTTGCATGGCTAAGGTAAACATGATTAAAATAAAATAAAAGGAAGAAGAAGAAAAAGATGAAGAACGTGAAGAACGCTCCAGAGAAAGTGCTTGGATCCCAAAATACGAAAATTCAGAATGAAACAAATGTTTCCTACTCTGCCGTCATATACCCCTACCCAAAGCGGGTTAGGGTTCAGTTCTGATCGGCCCATCTATCTAAAATGCGAAATAAAATAAATAAAATAAAATAAAATAAAACTTGGCTTTGGGCCACTTATGTAATTGGGTTTTAAATTACAAGTCTAAAACTTCAGCAAAACACGTTCTTCTTGGCGTCAGAAATCGACCAGCTTCTAGTCTGGATTGGGCTTTGAGCTCTTCATAAGAATTGTAGGTCTCTGTGTTATCTAAAAAAACCAACAAAAACAGAGTCAATCCGGCAACTGTGGACCGAGATATGGCCAAAATACAGAAGTAACGTAAAGCTGAAAAATTCTGACGAAAATAAATTAAACCCAATCAAACACTAAAAATGTAAATTAACTCAAAACATCATTATTTTATTCAAATAAATCCTAAAAATACTAATCAAGAGTAACAAATAAGTGTAATAAAATATGAGTTATCACCTACACTACTCTCTTTGCAACTTGCAGATAGATCTCTCAAGAAACCAGAAGGGGTGGTTAAAGATGTACTGGTGAAGGTTAATGATTACATCTTCCCTGCTAACTTTGTGGTATTAGATATGAAAGAAGATTCTGAAGTACCTCTCCTTTTGGGAAGACCTTTCTTAACTATAGCTAGAGTTCTGATTGATGTCGAGCAATGAGAGTTAGTATTTAGGGTGAATGGTGAGCAATTTACTGTCAATGTGTTCGAAGCCATGAAATACCTGGAAGAAAAAGGTGACTGCTTTCAAATCGACGTGATCGATGAAGCTGTAGCAGCGGTTGCAGATGAAGATTAACTCTGCACCTACAATAGAGGAATCATATGCAAGGATTTTGCAATCTTCTAATCATTAATTGAGGCTCTGTTGGAAGAAGTAGTTAAAGCCATTGATGTTGTCTTTGACGATTATGAGTTTGAGTCTTTGGATACTGATCAAGACAACAAATTTGTGCAAAATAAAATAAATGCTACTCAGTCCCCTCAGTTTTCAAAGTTAGAATTAAAAGAAACTCAACCTCCTACAGCTCAACCAGAGAAAATTTTCTTTATTGAGGAAAAGAAGGCTGAAGAGGAAGAAAAGAAAAATCATAAGCCAGATGAGAGCTGCAAGCCGAAGGTGAAGAGGGCAAAACCTAAGAAAAGGGGAAAGCATATCAAGACTAAGTTTAGAGTTCTTGAGGTCAAACCTTATCTCCCATATGCACGAGAGTATTATTACGGCAAAGCACAATTTATGAGAAAAAGGGATGGCATCATCTTTGAACTCTCGCTACAAGCCGCCATGACTAATGAAGGTGTAACGTCATGCTAATGACGTTAAACAAGCGCTTGTTGGGAGGCAACCCAACAAATTTATGTTTTTTATTTTATTTTAGTTTTAACTTTTGATCTCCATGGTGATGTATATTTGATTCTTATGCTACTACTTGTTTTGGGTTCTTTAACCCATTTGGGTTTTTACCCCTTTAAATTATCAATTTGGTATTTGGATCACGGTATTTACCAATGGGTGTCATTTAGTAATGCAAAGGGGACCCAGTGTCACTGAGTGCCGCTACCCTACCCCCGCGTCACTCACATTCTTTTATTTTATTTTTTTCAATTGAGTGACGCCCCCTCCCCTGGGGCACTCACAGGATTGTGCCAAGTGGCACAATCTCGTGAGTCCTGTTATTGACGTTCGCTGTCGAACCCACGCAAATTACCGAGCTTCAAGTTTGTAGTGATAGGGCAACTCAGATCGTCTCCCAAAGAACCTGCTAGAAATCAGAAACGCTCTTGTAAAATAAAATATAAAAAGGGAAGGGGGATTTTGTTGATTTGAAAATTAAATAAAAAGATTTGATTTTGGATTTAAAAATCAGAAATTAAAAAGCAATCAACCTAAGGAACCAAGATGCATTAATTTATTTCGTCATTGGATAAAAAGATATGATTATCAATTTGTGATTAACCCCAATCGAATTAGGAATCCTCAAATTCAATTAGAAACCCTCTCTAGACTATCGCCTAGCGTTTGGTTGAATACAGTTTTTAAACTATGCAAACGTAGTAATTTAATCCTGTTTAACTTATGTTCATTGGGTTGGTTAATCTGACCATTAAATCTAATGATCAATTTTCCCTTATAGAATGCAATCGCATTATTCAGTTTGAATATCTACAATCGCATGATATTCAACCTGAATTGGGAAAAAATGAAATTGATGAAAAATATTAAAACTTATCCTCTGAAATAAATTAACGAACATTTAACCTTAGATTGATTAAAGGTGTTTAGCCTAACATCACAAGGTTAAACATAATTCAAAATTAAATAGCATAAAAGAAGAAGAAGAAGAAAAGAAAAGTGCAGAATTTCGAATAAGAAAACTAAAACAATTGTTCAGCTCAAAATCTGATTGCCGAAGGGTTTCCTAACGTTTCCCTTAAATAACCCACATTCAGAACGGGTTAGGGTTTCACCACTTCGAACCATACATAAAATAAAATCTAAATAAAATAAAGTAAAACATTAAAACATGGCCTTGGGCCCTAAACACATTGGGTCCTAATTTAATTTATATGTCCAAACGTCAAAATAAAATTCTAGCAAAAACACGTCATCTTGGACTCAGGTCTCGACCATCTTATAGTCCGAATTGGGCTTTTGTAGATGAAATAACGATTATATAACTATCTGTTAGCTGCAAAACGCAAAAAGAACGGAGTCAATCGGACATCTGTAGAGTGAGATATGGTCAAAATACAAAAGTATTGTAAATCTGAAAAATTATGACGAAAATCAATTAAACCCAATTAAAATCTAGAATTGTGATTTGACCCAAAAGACCTTTATTTAATTCAAATAAATCATATAAATATCAACCAAGAGTATTAAATAAGTGTAACAAAATATGTGTTATCAAATTCCCCCACACTTATTTTTTTGCACTCCTGGGCAAAAACTAAAATTGAAATCAAAGACTAAGATCAACGAATCCCTTCTAGCAATTATCAAGCATACAGAAAATATACAAAAATCACAAGTCTTCAATAGGTAAATCAATCAGGACAGAAATTCCCTAATCTCAAATCACAACAACTGCTAATTTCAACTGTACATGCCAATTACAGAAAATGGTTCCTCACAGGATGCTCTCAATTCTTTTCTCTCAAGTGTATCAGGTAATCAGTGTATCACTCAAATCTACTCAAGAAAATCATTCTACCATAGGCTTGCTCAAATTCTACTTCTCCACTGCTACTAACATATGCATGCGCAAATCAAGAGGGCTTTATGCAGGGTTGTAATGGGGCTGAGGTGAAGGTATGGATGAAATATGAAAAAGAAGGTAAAACACCCAGAAATCTACTAGAGCAAAAGTTAAAAACTACAATAAGAAAAGAAAACAAAGATAATGAAAAGATAAAAGTAAACACATTTTTTTTTGTTTTTTCTATTTTTTTGTATTTTTTTTTTGTATTTTTTGTCTTTTTCTATATATTTTTTTCTTTTTGCTTTTTCTATTTTTTTTTTAAATACAAAAAACCACATAGCAGAAGGGAATCAAATGGTCACCCCCCCCCCCCCACGCTTAAACTTTTGTCTGTCTCAGGCAAACCCCCACACTTAAACACAACATCACAGTGAAATCAATGCTCAGTAAATCTCCAGGGTGTGGAATTAATTGGTTTTTCACTTAGGTTTGTAGTGTGGCTTAAGAAATAAAGCATATAAAGGCTCAAAGGGGCTCACCAAAGGATAATAATGTAAGGGATGACTATCTGGCTAAAATGGGTAAAGAAAGAAATGAATGCCTCAATCATATTCATGCATATAAGTGAAAAATGCAGTTTCAAAAAGAATCAGAGCAAGTTCTAGAGAACAAAGATCAAAAGCAGAAACACACAAGAAAGAAAGAATGGCCAGAAGATGTATGCCATGTATACAGGCTCAAAACCTCACAAGGGTAAACCAAATCATGCAATCAACAACACAGAATCAATCAACAGGTATTGCAATCCAAGAATCGAGATCAAAGCCTACCAGTCTATGCTATCAAACACTGTGATCCAAGTCTACTCCATATACCACTCAATAATTATCAGAAAGAAAAGGAAAATCTACCTATGAAAATCAAAAACTAAAAGAAAGAAAGAAAAATAAATAAATAAATGCAAATAACAGAAAGAAAAGAAAAATAGGGAAGAAAACACCCTGAACTCCCTAAGGAGAATAAGCAACGTCAAGCAGACTCTCAAACTGTTCTGAGCTCTTGCCGGAACCAGTTCATTTTTCTGATTTGCCACTACAGTCACTCCAGACTTCTTGGGAACCACTTGAACCGGGCTGACCCACCGGCTATCTGAAATAGGATAATGATGTTGGCCTGTAAAAGCTTGGTGACTTCCTTCTTCACCACTTCTAGGATAAGCGGGTTGAGGCGTCTCTGGGGTTGCCTCACTGGTTTAGCATTTTCTTCAAGCAAAATGCGGTGTATGCACATGGAAGGGTTGATTCCCACAATATCTCGAAAAGTCCATCCAATTGACTTTTTATTTTCTTTCAACAATGTCAGAAGCTTTTCCTCTTGCTTAGGTAGAAGGGTCTTGGCCACTATCACAGGTAACTGCTCATTTTCCTCCAGATATGCATACTTCAGATGGTCAAGCAGAGTCTTAAGTTCCAACTTAGGTGGCTGCTCAGTGGATGGGAGAAGTCTAGTGGGTGCAGGTTCTGCAGAAAACACATTAACATCTATGCCTGCAATCAAATTCTCAGAAACAGAATCATCAATAATTTCAACAGGCAACTCAGAATTCAACACCAATGCAGAACCACTATGCAAATCATCATTCAATAAATGATTAAAATCAGAACAACACAAAGCTATCCCAGCACAAGCAGTACAGTTACTACTATCGGTACAACACATGACAGATCAGAATCAAGTAATGATGATAATTCTGGATATTCAGAAGTTAAGTCAGCAAAGATATCATCCACCATTTCATCAATTACATCCATACAGAAAACAGAATGCTCTTCCCTAGGAAATTTCATGGCATCAAAAATATTAAAATTAATCATGCTATCACCAAATTCCATGGAAAGAGTACCAACATGCACATCTATCTTAGTTCTAGCAGTTTTCATGAAAGGTCTACCAAGTATAATTGTAGTACTAGGATTCTCACCCTCCATCCCTAGGATATAGAAATCAGCAGGGAAAATCAGATTGTTCACCCTAACTAATATATCCTCAACTACTCCAGAAGGATGAACACTACTCCTGTTGGCTAACTGAACAACAATACCAGTAGCACGCAAAGAACCAAGACCAAGAGACTTATACACAGATTCAGGCATAACATTAATGGATGCTCCTTAGTCTAACATACAATTATGAAAAACAGAATTTCCAATAATGCAAGGAATAGTAAATGTCCCTGGATCTTGACACTTCTTAGGCATGGGCTGGATGAGTGCTGACACATTCTGGCTGACGCTGACTCGCTCATCTGCTTTTAGCCTCCTCTTGTTGGTGCACAACTCCTTCAAAAACTTGGCATATCTTGGAATTTGCTGAATCGCATCCAAGAGTGGGATGTTTACCTCTACTTTTCTAAAAGTGTCAAGAATCTCTTTATCTTGAGCCTTTGCTGCTTGCTTTTTAGACTGAGTGGCTCTTTGAGGAAAAGGTAACGGGATGTGGACATCAGAAGTATCAGTATTCTGCTTCCTTGAACCAGTGTCACCTCCTTGAGATGACTCAACAGCAGATTGGTTTGGCTCCTCCAGTTGCTTGCCAGACCGCAGAGAGATGGCACTAACATTGTCGGTTCCCTTTGGATTTGGAACTGTCTGTGATGGAAGGGAGCTGCTGGAAGGTTGGGCCTGGTTCATTGATGTTGCCAATTGCCCGATTTGTCTGCAAATTCTGGATTATGGATTCTGTCCTCTGTTGAAACTCCAGATTGTTGGTGGCCATCTGTTTCATCAAGTCCTCCAAAGAAGGACCACAACCGCTGTTTTGTTGCTTCACTGGTGGTTGTTGTTGCAACTGTTGGGGAGCAGGTTGTTGGAAGTTTTGTCTCTGCTGTGGAATGAACTGCTGCTTTTGCTGGTATGGAAAATTTTGTTGACTTTGATATGGAACATTTTGCTGATTCTGGTTCCATCTGAGGTTGGGATGATTCTTCCAGCCAGGATTGTAAGTGTTGGAGAATGGATTATTCTGCTCCTGCTGGAACTGTGGTTTCTCAAGAAAGACTGCAGCTACTGACTGGTCTGCAAGAATGGAGCCCTCGTGTAGAGAAGGGAAAGCATCAGTGGGGTGAAAAGGTTCACTGCATATGCCACATGGATTGCCGAACTGTGGAGCAGAAGTCTGGATTGTCTGGGTAACTGCCAATTGTCTCACCATGGTTTCAAATTCATGAAGTCTATTTTCAATTAGCTGATTGTCAGCACTTGATGCCACTGCTGAAGGCTGGGTCGGAGTTGCTTGCACCTGGTACACAACACTGCCATTAGCTCTCGTTCTAAACTGTTGAGCATTTTCAGCCATGTTTGAGATCAACGCATTAGCTTCATTGGGTGTTTTGTCAACAAGAACTCCTCCACTGGCAGCATCAATTAGGTTCCCATCCAAATGTAGCAATCCCTCATAGAAGTAGAAATCAGCAATTGCTCCGGAATCTGGTGATGTGGACAGTGATGGGACGTAAATTCGTTCCCATCTAAGCCCATTTTGATGGCAAAATACCATACGTTCCCTCATCTGATGAGCAACTTTGGTATGAAAATCACTTGTTTTACACATTTGTGACAAAAACACAGTGGGGAAACGGATGGTAACGTATTCCTTTAAAATATATTAAAAGGGGAACGGACTGAGACACATTTAATGCACCTGCTCCACTCATTTAATGCCTCTGTACACTTTGCAGGTGACGTAAGGTTAAAGTCTTCTAAAAGCAGAGGCGGTGCACCAACTGAGCAACTGGAAACGTGAAGAGAAGATAATCAAGAGTTCTCATTGGCTGAAAAGGAAAGTAAAGCATGGGAAAGACTGCAAACAACAGCTAATCATCACCAAATCCTGTTCCATCCAGCAATTTGCGCAATCTTCACGCTCTGCTGCCACCATCCCGTCCCCTCAGTCAAGCAACTAGCTCCAAAGGATTTACAACATTGCCACTCATCTTCCATCTATAAATAGGACCACCCCCACACAAAAACACCATCGAATCCTGGAGGGTTTGAAGTACGAAAGGAAGAGATCACCTAGTAGTAGTAGTTAGTAACTTAGTTTTATTTTAAGCTGTAACTATATTTAAGTGACAACCCATCTCTGTTCTCTGTATCAACCCTTAAGACTCCTCACGAGCATTAACCCATCTTTCTCCATTTTTTGTTTCTTTTGTAAACTGTCTTTTCAATTGATATAAGTGCTTTTCTCTTCGTTCCATTCGTTATCTCTTAATTGAATCTTGGGTCTATGGAATTTCAGTTGGGAATAATTTTGTTTAAACTATCAGCCATGAGCTGAACTATCTATGGAACAGGTGAACTGTGAAACTCTTAAAGAACTATTTTCAAAACTCTTGACTGAAGCTTTTTGTATTTATTTGGCTAAGTAAGCTATATTCATTGTGTACCAATGGAAATTGGGCACATACTGAGAAAGGAACTTCCATAAGGAAGGGATTTCAGACAGCTTAGCCATTGGGGGAAGGTAGTGTTATGGCAAAAACACTATTGGTCACCTTAGGAATAAAGAGCCAACTCGTCCATTTTAAGGTTCTGTTCTGAGTACTTGTTGGAGTCAAGGGAGCCATAAGAATATGGAAACTTGTAAGCCATCTAGTCCATGAGTTGAGGAATCAGAGTTGGCAGACAAGAAACTGGGACAAAGCCAAAAAGTGCTAAGTCTTGAGCAGAGAAAAAGCCCCTTTAAGAGTGGAGCAGTAAATCATTTCCTTCTGTTAAACTGTTCTAGCCACCACCCTGTTGTCTCTTGATTATAGTTATTTCTGTTTTAGTAGTTTTTACTTTATTTAATCTTGCACTTATAAAACCCCAATGATTATTATCTCACTTTCTTCTAAACAGGAAGGATCACATACATAACGCAGCGAGCAATTATTTGTCACCAGATTGAACCTACTGTTCCTGAGGAACGTTGTCAAGACAGTAGGGAACGTTTGACCAGACAGTTCATTTACTAACTTTTCTTCTCATCTTCATTCTTTATAAAACAGTATAAGACAATAATTAGGACTCTATCCTCGTGGGAACGATAATTTGGGAACTAATACTCCCTTTATTACTTGATGTGTGCACTTGCGCACTTGGGTTGGAACTAAGGGAACGAATCTGTGTTTTGCAAGAACAGAAGAACATCCCCTATCAGAACTTACATTTTTCCACCATAAGCAAACCACCCAACAAGTTTTTGGCGCCGTTGCCGAGGATAGAAACACTAAATCTTGTTCTTATTTACTGTTTTTAGTACATACTCTGTATATCTAACTTTACCTCTTATTTTTTTTTTTACTTGTCACTTAAACTGATGTGCATACATACTCTATGTTTACGTTTTATGAGTGAAGAGTTTGAACTCTGATCACTCCATTAAAGTACCTGAGTTTCTCTTCGACCCTGAACCAGAACGTACACTTCATAGAAGAAGAAGAAGAAACCTCAGGGAAGAAATCCTTGAAAACGTGGCTGATCATAATAATAATGAAGAGGTTCCTCCTGAACAAAACTTCAGAACTTTGGCTGCTCCTTTCAGGAACAGACCAGACAGGAGAGTAATCCTCCCTCCTGTAGCACCAAATTTTGAACTGAAACCTATCATGTTTCACATGATCAGGGAAGCAGGGGTCTTCAATGGACTCCCTGCAGAAGATCCTTACACACACCTCACAACATTCCAAGATATCTGTGATAATTTTAAAGCTGAGGGTGTGACAGCGAAAAGCATGAGAATGAGGTTGTTCCCTCACTCCTTAGGCTTAAAGGCAAAAACATGGATGAAAACTCTCACCCCTGGGTCAATCCACACATGGGAGGAGCTCTCTAACAAGTTCATAGAGAGGTTTCTCCCAATGTCTCGACAAGCTGATGTTAGGGCAGAAATCTCTAACTTTAGAATGTTTTATGGAGAAAATCTCTATGAAGCATGGGAGAGATATAAGGACATCATCAGGAAATGTCCAAACCATGGGGTAGAGAGTTGGGGAGTGTTACAATCTTTCTATAAGGGACTTGACCATACTTCTCAATCTCACTTAGATTTCACTGCAGGAGGATATTTCTTTACAGGAACACTTGAATCCAGGTATGAAATCATAGAAGGAACTGCTGAAAGATGTCTCCAATGGCCAATAGACAGGGTGAGCCCAGTAAGGAAGCCAGGCATGCTAGAACTGGATAAACAAACCACCATGGAAGCCCAGCTGGCATCACTCATGAATGAAGTGAAGAACATGAAAGCTGACCAATCAGCACCAAGGATGGAAGTCTTACAAGGCAGCAGCAGTATCAGCAAGGTAGCAACAGTGGAATGTTTGAACAAAAGAGAAACAACTACGTTCCGTTCCACAGAGAGGACCAACACATCAACACCCTGGAAAATTATGTCAAGGAATATGTCACCAGGCATGATGCAGTGGTCAGGAACATTGAGTCCCATCTGGGATAGATTGCTGCTAATCTCCAAACAAGAACACCAGGATCATTACCAGGGGACACTGAAGTTCCCTCGACCACTTTTAAAGCAACTTGAGAGGTAAGTACCATGTCTAGCTAAAGACATTAAACTAAACGCTAACTGGGAGGCAACCCAGTGGTTACATTTTCTCTCTGACAAAGATCAAAGTTTTGGGGTGGTTACTGTTAACCACATAGCTCCCAAAAAGGAGGGAACGTATGATGTTCCACTCCAGAAAGTCCAAATAAAGTACGTTCCGTTCCAGGAACGTAGTTTTGGGGTGGTCCCTGACCACACAATCCCAAAAAAAAAAAAAATTTATTTTTATTTTTGCAAAGTTAACATTTTAATAAATAATAAGAATATGTGATAGGTTATATTACGTTCCTTTTTCCTTAGTTAGATTAAATCTTCAATTAAACACTTTTGTATGTTTCCTTTTCTTTCCTTTTATTGAGTTAATTATTTATTAGTTAGGAAAAGACAAAGGGAACGTTCCCTGGGTTAGGAGATAAGAGTGACTGGGACACCTGTCCCTGCTGAGTCACTTAAAAAGATACGTAGCCATATCTAAATTGCATTCATTGCAAATCTTGGAAACGTGCTCAGCAAAAGCAACCGTCTCCTCAACCATTAAGACAACTGCACCCTTTTTCTTTTCCCTTTCTCCCACCCCTACCTTTGATGGATCCTTTGATCCTATTGCTGCGGCGCGTTGGCTACAGGCGTTGGACAAGATATTTCGGGTCATGCAGTGCACAAATCCGCAGAAGTTGATGTTCGCTACTTACATGCTGGAGGGCGATGCCCATGAGTGGTGGACAAACCTTTCTCATGTCTACGAGATGCAGGGTCATGTGATGACGTGGCCTTTGTTCGAGGATTTCTTCTTGGGTCAGTACTTTCCATATGACGCTCAGGAGAGGCAGCAGGGAGAGTTTGACAGATTGGTTCAGGGCTCGTTGTATGTGGACGAGTACCTGGCTAAGTTCAACCAGTTGGTGAAGTTTGCACACTTCAGGATGGCGAGGCCTACTCCTACATTTCTGGCTGCTAAGTTCCGCAGGGGACTTAGTGAGGATATTGCTGGTTACCTTGCTAGTTCCGCTTCTAGAGACTTTGGGACACTGGTTCAGCAGTGTCGTGATATTGAGGATTTCTACAGCACGAGTAAAGCCAAGAAGGCCAAGGTTACTGAGGCGACGAAGGTTGTAGCTGGTAGTTCCACTTCTTGGAGAGACAAGAAGTTTGGGAACAAGGGTAAAAGTAAACAGATGGAAGCTCGACAAGCGTCGAATCAGTTCAAGAGAACTTCTACTCAAGGGAGGGCAGCGAGATCTCCTGCTCTCAAGTGTTCGGGATGCGGGAAGACTCATTATGGGTCGTGCTCTACCGGCTAGTTGATTTGCTTTCAGTGTGGCAAGGAGGGCCACTTCTCCAGAGACTGTCCGTCGATGACGGCAAGGGCTACTGCAGTGCAGGCAGTGCCACTTCAGATGGTTCCCCTTCCACCTACTTTGGCACCGGCAGTGCCACCATCTTATGGTAGAGTTTATACTCTAGATCGTCAGCAGTCGGATCGAGCTCCGAACATTGTTAGAGGTACTGTTACCATTGGTGGTTCACCTGTGGATGTCTTGTTTGACTCTGGGGCTACGCATTCTTTTGTTGCAACCCCGATTGCTGTGGGGCTTGAGTTGCCTATTGATGTCCTTTCTCCACCGTTGCGGGTTACCACCGCCACCGGAGAAAAGTGTGATGCGACCACTGTTCATCGCGATGTAGCATTTCAGTGGGATGGTCGTGAGTTCTCGGTAGATCTGATAGGATTGCCGATGGCCAACTTGGAGGTTATTCTGGGCATGGATTGGCTGTCCAGAAATTGTGTGATGATTGATTGTTGTGCCAAGTGTGTGGTGATGTATCCATGTGACTCCACAGCTAGTTCTTCGCTGTACATTTCGTTGCTGCAGGCTAGGAGAGCCTTGAGAGCAGGGGCATATGGTTATGTCATGTTGGGAGGTTTGGTGAGTGGGACACATGAGGATATCACTGGCATTCCTGTGGTGAGGGAATTCCTCGAGGTGTTTCCAGAGGAGATTCCTGAGTTTCCGCCACAGAGGGAGATAGAGTTCTCCATTGATCTGTTGCCTGGTGTGGGGCCTATTTCATTAGCACCATACCGGATGTCGCCACCGGAGTTGGCAGAGCTGAAGAAGCATATTGAGGATCTTTCAGCGAAAGATTTCATTAGATCGAGTGTGTCTCCTTGGGGAGCACTAGTCAATTTTGTGAAGAAGAAGGACGGGACAATGCGATTGTGCACCGACTATAGGCAGCTGAACAAGGTGACAATCAAGAACAAGTATCCCCTTCCTCGGATTGATGATCTGTTGGATCAGCTCAGGGGTGCTTGCGTGTATTCTAAGATTGAGCTCCGGTCCGGATACCATCAGATTCGGGTGAAGCCGGAGGATGTCCCGAAGATCGCATTTCGCTCGAGATACGGTCACTTTGAGTATTTGGTGATTCCATTTGGACTCACCAATACACCTGTTGTGCTCATGGATTACATGAACTGGATTTTTCAGCCGTACCTGGATCAGTTTATGATCGTCTTCATTGACGATATTTTGATTTACTCCAAGACGGAGGAGGAGCATGTGGAGCATTTGAAAACTGTTCTGCAAGTGCTGAAGGAGAAGCTGTATGCGAAGCCTTCAAAGTGTGAGTTTTGGCTCAAGTCTGTAAAGTTTCTTGGGCATGTTATTTCTGCTGAAGGAGTTGTAGTGGATCCGAACAAGATCGAGGCCGTACTGGATTGGGAGAGACCCAAGACAGTTACGGAAGTGAGGAGCTTTCTGGGTTTGGCAGGTTACTATCGGAGGTTCATCAAGGGATTCTCCATAAAACATCCTGAAGTTAGAGAACTCTGCTCTCACATTAGTTTGTCGAGACATAGGGAGAAACATCTCTATGAACTTGTTAGAGAGTTCCTCCCATGTGTGGATTGATCTAGGGGTGAGAGTTTTCATCCATGTTTTTGCTTTCAAGCCCAAGGAGTGAGGGAATAACCTCATTCTCATACTCTCCTCTATCACACCCTCAGCTTTAAAATTATCACAAATATCTTGAAATGTTGTGAGGTGTGTGTAAGGATCTTCTGTAGGGAGTCCATTGAAGACTCCAGCTTCCCTAATCATGTGAAACATGATAGGTTTGAGTTCAAAATTAGGAGCTAGAGAAGGGAGGATTACTCCCCTCTCTAGTCTGTTCCTAAAAGGAGCAGCCAAAGTTCTAAAGTTTTGTTTAGGAGGAATATCTTCATTGTTGTTGTGATCAGCCATATTTTCAAAAATTTCTTCCCTGAGGTTTCTTCTTCTGTGAAAAGTACGTTCTGGCTCAGGATCAACGAAAATGTGTGATAAGGTTCAACAGGTTTTGGTTCGTCGGTGGGTTATCTGAATGGATGGAAAGTGCTGCCACCGACGAGGCTGATTTTTCGCGAGCGGTAGGAGTCTCCTTCCGCTTTCCCTTGGAGCCATTCTGGGACTTGCTTCTGGTATCGACCATGTTTTTAAATTGAGAGAGGAATGAGTTCTAGATGATAGATTCCCACAGACGATGCCAATGATCAGACCAAATACAATATGGGATGGCCAATATGTATCAGGCCTAATCACACACAGTTGAGAAGTGGATAGTGTTCTTGGTCTAGGGTCTGGAGTTGTTGTTGGAGATCACTATGTCACTGTCCTTTGCTAGCGCGATGAATCCGAATGGGAGGGTACCTGCGAAGACACTCCGATGCTTAAGTCAGTATCAGAGGCAAGTGTTTGTATGTTCTTAATGTAAAGGATGAATGTACCTGGGTGTTGTACCCTCTGCTTATATAACGGTTATGATGCCGCCTTAGTAAGGCAGTATGGCATCTGATTGGCCAGGTTTGGGCTGCAGGTCAGGCTAGAATCTGAGTAGCCTTATCTTCTTGATGTCAAGCTATAGAGTCACGGCAAGCCGGTGTTGTCCTCTGTCTATTAGTTCAAAGGCGCGGTGGGCTTGCCTTGGTTATTAAGTTAGCTTCCTTTTTCCTGGAGTTTATGCCAAAGGGCGGTTCTATGCGCGATGGGGGCATCGCGTCTTGCTACGTGCGCGATGATGACCATCGCGCTTAGTTCAGGACCCTTCATGAGATTGAGCTTCTTTGTATGCTATGGGGCCTCCAATGGGCCTTCTGTATTTTGTCCAGATCACTAAGTAATCAAAATTTATACGAAACAAAACAACAAGGTTCAAAGGATTTAATATTTTTCTTTGAAAAAAAAATATTAAGATTTTATCAGAGCTCACATTTATCTTGTGAAAGTCCACTTATTATTTAAAAGGAATTGTGATATACCTTCAAAATGTTTTGAATGCAAAATGTCTTAAAACTCCTAAATTAAGGACTAAAATATGGATTTAAGGTTTATAATTTGTTAATATTAAAATAATGAGATGAATTATTATTAAGTTGTTTTTTCCAAAAAGAAGAAGAAGTTAATTTCTATTTTTTTTGGTGTTTTAGATATTTGGGAAGATATTGAGGCATAAATATCGTGATTGCACGAAAAATTAGATAAAATCTCATTTAGGAGATTTGGCACCTGATTACCTAAAAAAATAAAGAAAAGACCAATCATAATTCCTAGGTGATGGTGACTTTATAAATATTACCTTCACGACTTTCTAAAGGGTCTTTTTGGACCAAACATAGGGAGATGGACTTTTATAGTTTTCTTTCATCTTTTGTTTTTCTTTCCTTTGCCATGTTTGGCTAGTTTTTTTATAGTTAGGTTAAATGGAACGCTTTTGGATTTTGAATTAATTAATTTTTTCCTCTCAATTAATGTTCATGTTTTCATGTTATGCAACTGTTTTGCTTCTCACTCTTAATTCTTTCGTGAATTGGCCAATTATAGAAAAATACTTGAGTTATGCAAAACATTAGGGATGTTGGTGTATGATTCTGATATGACTAAACTGTCATATTTTGTTTGATCTAAGGATAAACTAAAAGCTCTTAATGCTTGATCTAAGGGAGATTGCCTAGGAATTAGGATTCTTAATAGGTCAATGAATTGAAATACCAAGGACTTGAGTTTTAATTAATTTAGGGATGAGATTTTCGGCAAAATAAGTTTAAGGGCTTTATTACTATCCTTTCATAGGAGATAACTTCTTTCACTTCTATTTTCGCACCCTCCTTTTTTTTTTCTTGTAATGGTGAGACCCGTCTATCTTCTCTCTACAATATAAGATAATTATCTTCTATGAAAGGAGAGTAGTATTTCCTTAAGTTTAAGGGCTCGTTTGGTGGACATGATAGGATAAGGGTAGGATATGATATGGGGCTGATAAGGGTAGGATATGATATGAGGTTGATAAGCCTATTTCATGTCCTGTGTTTGATGAGCACTTGATTAGCAATCTGATAAGATTATATAGAAGGAGAAAGGAGAAAGAAAAAACAAAATATAATGCAATAAATACAAATATATTGGGTAGCGTGGGGATATATTGGGTATCCAATATTGATATCTTATCCTATTGAATCATAACACAGCTCCTCCCATAGGATAAGAAATCATGTATTTGATAGGATAAAATGAGACAATAGGATAAGCTAATCATATCCTATTGACCCACCAAACAAGAGATAAAAGTAAAATATGATAAATTATCCTATCCTATCTTCTTTATCAGGTGCTCCAAACAGACCCTAAATGTTATGTGAGAAGGGAAATAGATTAGTTAGGAGGAAATTGGGGAAAATTAAAACTCTAATTGCGTGTTCCATTCTTAATTTTCAAACCAATTTTTAATTTGAATTAATTGTTGTTTGGGAATTGGTCCTTTATAACTAATATTCAAATCAATATCATAAAACTCTTTCCAATTAATCCAACTTTAATAAATTGATAAACATAGTGCTAGATAGTTGAATTCTCGTGAAAATGATACTTTTTGTCATCACTTGACTTTGCCATTAATACACTTGCCGTGCTAAGCAACAAATTGCTGCATGCAGCACGAACGGCAAAGCATTCAAGCTGCTTGCCTTCTTCTGCCATTCGCTCGCTTCGATCATAATGACTAATATTGAAGCACGGGTAACAACAACCAGTAGAATTTAAATTAAACATATTTTGGAATCTACAAGATTTGCTACACACGGATACAACCTTATCGTCGTGCAGAATGACGTGTTCACTTTAGAATAAACATTACTACCACAACTTTCGAACAATCTTGGAAAAGAGCATCTCCAGAAATCTAGTTTATGAGAACATCGATCATCCCCAAATATTTCAGCCATTATCTTTGCAGTTAACATGTTGCAGTCGTTTTCGCCGTGGGATTATTTTCTGCCTCCGTATTGATTGAAACATGCCAATCTATTTCAACTGGCAGAACATGGTTTGCTGTGTGACTTCATTTTTGTATTATGTATTTTTTTTATTATTTAAAAAATTGTATATCGTTCTCCAAGAGAAAGTGCGTATACTATTGGAGTTAGTTTCAGGAGGAAAGAGTTTAGGAATTTTCACAAAACCCTCCCAAACTTTTTTTATTCTTAAAATCAAAGTTCTCTCAATTTGGGATTCCTTCCATTCCTTCTTCTACCTCTCTCTCTTGAATCCCTTCTCCTCCAAACTCTTAAAGGAAGCCTAGGATTTGGGTGTGTATGGAGGGGAAGGAAAGATATCCAAGGAAAAGAGAGGGGAAGAGAAAACAAAGCCTATTCCCTTCCTTTTGTTTGGGAGTTAAAAAAATAGTAAGGAATAAGGGTGTTAACGGATCGAGTCGAGCGGAGCTTTGGTCTTAAAAGGCTAAGCCTGTTTAAATGTGTTACCTGTTATGAATGAATATAATTATCGGCATGTGGTCTGACTTATTTACAAAAAATGAAAGTCTGATTTAGCCTATTTAAAAAAAAAATAAGACAACAAAAATTTATCCAAACAGAATGTACAATCAATAGCACTAGTAATTCCATAAACATTCATAAATTCAATGTATATCCAACAACATAATATAAAACAAAATCATTCACAAAGTCTGTTTAACCAAAAAAATGGGGTGAATGGATTGAGGAGAGAGAGTTGCCTATTACAAGTAGTATAAAAAATATATAATTAAAATTAAAATTAATATACTAAGTCGGCCTAAGAGGCTCTAAGGTCGAGTTTTTGAATCGAAGCCTGAGGCCTTTTTATTAAACGAGCTTTTATACAAGTCCAAGTCTGATTCCAACAACCAATTTTAGGCATGTAAGCTCAGATCTTCACGAGCCGAGCCAAAGGCTCATAGTTCGTTTATCACTCCTAGTATTTATCCTTTCTTTAAAATTATTATACTTTACAAATAAAATTAAGAGTAAATATCATTTTCGATCCTCAGCAAATTTTACGATGCCCGCTTTAGTCCCTAACAAATAAAAAGGCTATTCGTGGTCCCTACAAAATTCAAAATGGACCTATTTTAGTCCTTTCGAGGGACTACTATGGGTCTTTTTTGAATTTGTGAAGGACCACGATTTCAACTAAATGGATCCATTTTAAATTTCTTAGGAACCACGAATAGCCTTTTATTTGTTAGGGACTAAAAAGAGTATTTACTCTAAAATAAAATTTAAAATTTCTTTTATTTTTTATTTTATTTTTTCAAAAAAATAACAATAACAATAATGAAGATCCTGCTAGAGGTGTTAACTAATCAATCAATAATATCAGGGAAGTTTCATCGTAACCAAATCCACCAAATTTAAAAGAAAAATAGTTTCCATAAAAATAAAAGCAATTATAAAATAAACTAAAATAAATTAAAAAACCCAAATATTAAGGAGGAAAAAGTGAAACACACCAAACGGGAGGGGATATTGACCGTACTGCCCTTTTTTCAAAATAATATACCTGAATGTTACGGAGTGCAATTTTTTTTTTAAATTGCCGCCACAGCACTATAGTCGCTGAGGTTCTTAGCTACTATGGATGAGACACGTGTCACGCCTGTTGCACCAAAGTAGCTACCTTTAGGGGTGTTAACGGGTCGAGCCGAGCCGATCTTTGGTCTTAAAAGGCTAAGCATGTATTTAAATGTGTCAGCGTGACCAAGCATATTACATGTTAAGAATATTATTATCGATCCGTGTCTTGACTTATTTATAAAAAATAAAAGTCTGATTTCGCCTGTTAGCATGTTCAAAAAAAATAAGACAACAAATTTTTTCCAAATATAATATACAATCAACAACACTAATAATTCCATAAATATTCATAAATTCAATGTATATCCAAACAACATAATACAGAACAAAATCATTCAAAAAGTTTGTTTAACTAATAAAATGAGGTGAAAATGATTGAGGTGAGAGAGAGAGTTATTACAAGTAGTATAAAAAATAAAGATAAAGATAAAAGTTAATATACTAGGCCAGCCTGAGAGGCTCTTTCAAGTCCCCAAAAATAATTTTAATTAAATTAAATATATACAACACAAATTTTTAAATGCAATATAAAATTCATTTATATATATAATTTGAAATTAAAAATATAATATTAAGTATCCTATAGTTTACCTAAACTAATTCATTTATGAAAAATAATTCATATCAATTAACCTATTGTTTAATCCTATATACTAAGAGAAAAAAAATAAAAAAATAATAAAAAATTTAAATATCATTTATCTTAATATTTCAAGTCCCCAAAAATAATAATTATTAAGTTAAATATATGCAACACAAATTTTTAAATGCAATATAAAATTCATTTATATGTATAATTTGAAATTAAAAATATAATATTAAGTATCCTATATTTTACTTAAACTAATTCATTTATGAAAAATAATTCATATCAATTAACCTATTGTTTAATCCTATACTAAGAGAAAAAATAAAAAATAAAAAAATTTAAATATCCTTTATCCTAATATTTTAATTCCCCAAAAATAATTATAATTAAATTAAATATATACAACACAATTTTTAAATGCAATATAAAATTCATTTACATTTATAATTATAAATTAAAAAAATAATATTAAGTATCCTATAGTTTACATAAACTAATTTATTTATGAAAAATTTAAATATTTTATTCTAATATTCAAGACCCCAAATAAATTATAATTAAATTAAATATATACAACTTTAATATTTTCTATTGTAGATTTTCTCAAGCATAACTCATGTCTAACTTTATCAATAAACTCAAACGGCATGATGCGTATACACAACAACAACAACAATTCACTTTGAAGAAAATATACAATATAAATATTAGTGTAGCACTGAACAATTTTGTTATGTTATTAAGCCGCTTTATAATATCATTAGTGGGCCAAAGTCGCTATCTATGTTAGCTACTTTGGTCCTGCAAAATTTCTGCAACACTTACAATTAGGATTGGCACACTAGGCCAAATTTGCTGGTTTTCCCTCCGACTTTAATCCTATAGGCCTGCGAATTCAGAAAATATACGTCGTAGTCGTTACACAACATGACTACTTTGAGAAAATGAGTGACGCGTGACTAGTTCAACCCAAAGTAGCTACTTTGGTGCATTTCCAGCCACGAGGGGAGTGAGATATGTCCCATCCATAGTAGCTAAGAACCTCAGCGACCATGGTGCCGTGGCAATTTGGTAAAAAATCTGTACTCCGTGACATTCAAGTATATTATTCTGAAAAAAGGGGAGTACAGTCAAAGTCCCATGAGAGGGACCTCGTTCATGTTAAGGAACATAGCAATATGGCAAATGGAAATGAAAGAGAGAGAAAAGAAAGAGCAGTGTTACGTTAAGGAAACAAAGCCTAGAGAGAGAAGAGAGAGAGAGAGTCGTACATAAATTCAAAAGAAGAAGAAAATAGAGAGAGAAAACAGAGTTTAAGGAGAAAGAGAAAGAGAGATTTTTGATTTTAACGAGGGTAAATAAGTAATTAAAATATTTTATCTCTTAAAACTCTTAAAATTAGGGAACTTTATTTTTAAGAATAAGGAGAATTTTAGAGGATTTTGTGAAAATCCCTCCTTTCCATCTCTCCACTTTTTTAAACTCACAAATAAGAAAATGTATCATTAAAACATTCCTTTCTCTTTACTTTTCCTCCCGACAACAACTCCTAAACAAAGTGTAAGACATTCAATCACTTTGAAATTTTTTACTCTAATTCAATACATAAAATTGTATGTTTGTAACATTGGAAAAATCATAAGGACTCTTGTTCATATTTAAGGTTTAAACAAAACTCAATTGAGAATTATTTTAATCTCAGAATCTTTCAGAATATTCAGCTTTAGAGAAGAACTTTGAAAGAAAGTAGTTGAATAATTTTAAATTATATTTTTGGGGATATATCTCCCCGCACGCCCGGAACAGGGATATTAACTTCCAAATTTAAATATTTAATTAATACTAATTTATTCAATAGAAATTTGCTACCACACAAGAGCGAGCAACTCCATCATAAACCCTAAACCTAACCGATCTATTATTGAATATTATTGTTGTCTAATCATATTCAGTCACTATCCCCTCTCTTGATTTTTCACACAACTCACTATCTCTAACATGTTACATTAATTTGATCAAACGTATATAAATATGGGGGCAACAAAGATTGGTTTCCTCACAGCAAAGGATATGGAGAGCAAAAGTCAACTACAAGTTTCAAATTCAGGTCAACAGAGTGGAGGATCCACCTTTTTAGAAACTTGTTTCAATGGACTCAACTCCTTATTAGGTCCCCCTCTCTCTCTCTCTCTCTCAAAATGTATCTGACCAGTTATTAGTCATATATACAAAAAGCAAATATCACACATGTCACCCACTTTACCAGGCTTAGCAAGATGGATAAAAGGAAATATATTTGCATGACTTGTTAGCTGTACATGCTAATTAGTAAATATTCTTTGCATAATTATATTGTTAGGTAAAAATTTTGCATGCTTTTTGACAGTTTTGATAAAAATTCAAACACTTTTTGGCATCACGTGCCAAAAAGCTGAAAGAAAGTTCATTTAGCTATAACATAACTGATAGGGTATGCTTAATTAAACTGTGCGCTT